CCTGCAAAGGTCTAGTAAGCAGAGTTGATCAGCCTTCCCAGAGTTGGCATGTGACTTTTGGGAGGAGTCGTTGGAAACGGGGTGTTTGCAAGGTCTGATAAAATAATATTGATTGACTTCTGTGGGAATTGATTACTTCACCCATATTTTATCCCCCAGGCCTAGTATTCCCCCTCTCCCATCCTCTAGCTTTGGCCATAAAGGGCTAGGCTACACAAGGTTCGGCTTTGAGCCCAGGAATCAAAGAAGCAAACCTCCATTTCTGGTTCAAGGCTGGAACAGTTCTTCAGGGCTCTGTGAAATCCTTTATAACCCTAGAACAGGGTTCCTTGGGGAGAATAGTGGGTAACATAGATTTAGGTATGCATTTCTCGGTGTTTCAGCAGCGTTTTCTCTGTCCTTTCTGAGCTAGGCCCAGAGGAGCTGGGACTGCAAGTCCAGCAGGACGGTTCTGAGACCACCAGGGTGCCCACTCCTCGGCCCAGAGACGGTAGGTGGCTACAGCCCTGAAAGTGAGGTAGAAGCATCAGGATAGAAAAGCCCTGGATGAAAGAAGGTCCTAACCTGTGTTATGTAGCTCAGATTTGCACCAAGTCCTGGAATCCTGGTTCTTTGTGCTGGTCTCAGGCCTTGTTAATAGGAATGTGGTGTCTAGAAAGAGGGAGGTGGGCTTTAAACTAGACAATATAGAGGTTTCTAGAGATGGGATCATAATGGAATGGGATATCTTGTCTCGAGGAGAACAACGAAATAATTCAGAATTTAGCCTGGGGAGTCTAGAGGTAAGGGGAGACCATGACCTTCAGAGAACACAGTGGAACATAATCACGGTCTCCAAACAGCTGGCCTGGGGCTGGGGTACTAGGGTATGAGAAGACTTTGGAGAGAGCAAACATAGACACAAAGCACCCAGGGCACACTATCATTCAGAATTCTTGCAGACCTTTCTTCCAGTCCTGAGATTAGAGTCTGGGCTGATGCCCATTCTATTATTTTTGTTTGTTTTTAAGAATTATTTTATATTTATTTGTTTGTTTGTTTGTTTGTTTATTTTAATTTGCTCAGAGAGGGCCAGAGAGAAAGGGAGAGACAGAAAAGAAAGCAAGCTGCCAGGTCTGGGGCTCAAACCACAATTGGCTATGTGGGAGTCCAGCACCCTTAACCACCATGCCACCTGCTGGCCCCATTCCCATTCTATTTTAATCTCACTTGTCTGCCCTCATCCAGTGTCTCCTAGGGCAGTGCCATGTCTCAGACTACCACCCTCTGCTTCCTCTGTCTACCCCTTACTTGGCCAAGCTTGGTAGTAGCCTGGCAGGGACCAGCCCCTTCTAGCCGCAGGCCTTGTACCCCCACAGGGCACCTACGCCTGGCCAGCGGCACCCACCGATGTGAGGGGCGTGTCGAGCTCTTCCTAGGGCAGCGGTGGGGCACTGTTTGTGATGATGCTTGGGACCTGCGGGCAGCCGGTGTCTTGTGCCGCCAGCTGGGCTGTGGCCAGGCCCTGGCAGCCCCTGGTGAGGCCCACTTTGGCCCAGGCCGAGGTCCTATCCTCCTGGACAACGTCAAGTGCCGTGGGGATGAGAGCACCCTGCTGCTGTGCTCTCACATCCGCTGGGATGTCCACAACTGCGACCACAGTGAGGATGCCAGTGTCCTGTGCCAGCCGTCATGACCCAGCCTGCTCTGCAGACCACCTCTTCGGGAAGCCTGCTGTGACCTGCCCCTCCTCCTCTAGGAAACCTCTCCTCCTGTGACTGTTGCAGTTCACTTGCCCCAAATTCCTCTCGCCTGGGAGGAAACCTGCCCAGACTCTGTAGTCCTGCATGGGGGAGCCTCGCATTACCCCTGTCAACTTATTGTGTAACCTCGACCTGTCATCAACTATTGTGGGCCCAATTCAGTGAAAGCTCCCATGTTTTGCTGAGCCAAAACAGAAAATGGGGGGAAGGGAAAGCCTCTTAACTCTTCCCTTTGGTGGGGCTCCTGTTCCAGCACCCTGTCCCTTTCCCTCCTCAACCCAGGCTCAAGGGCTCTCTGTAAATGGGCTATCTCCTCTTCTCCTGATCCATCTTGGGATCCCTAAGAAGGAAGATAGGAGAGGCCTACAGCTCTCAACTTAGATTCCCAGAAGCTGTAGGAGAACCTGGGGCATTGCCCCGCCCTGCTCTGTGAGGGCCTGGACTCAGATGGTGCTCGGCTGGACAAGGGGACTGGAGGGGCCAAAGCAGGGACAGTGGCCCCTCCTTGCAGCTCGGACTAGCATCACTGATTTATGCTGCTCCCACCACAGCCTCTATTTTGCAGGAGCAAAGGACCCTGGGGGCCTGTAGCCACCCATTCATAGGTGCCAAGTCAATAAAGCGTTGTCCCCTGTCTTTTAACTGAGTCAGTGTTTGAGCACAAGTGCATTCTTTGTGCAGCAGGAAAGACTCTGGAGGACACTGGCGTGGGGATGGAGAGTGTTCAGGAGTATCATCGGGGAGCTCCCAGCTGGCCCGTCCCAGCTTGGAAAAATGCTGGGCCACAGAGTCAGGTCTCAGAGATCCCCTAACCCAGCTCCTCCTTCCTTTTATATATATGGAAATCTAGACTAGCAAAAGGAAGGGGCTTGCTCAAGGTCACGTAGTGAGATGTTGGGAGTCACTGCAGGAGAAAAAGTTCCTCAGGAGGTGGAAAGCAAGATGAGGGAGGACTCACCAGCATCAGGCCTTCACCGAGGGCTACTCTTGGGGCACCTGACTGAGTAGCCTTAAGCAGTGCTCTGGGCTACTTTGTCTCTGTTCAGGCCTCGTCCCTGCCAGAACCTCTCTCAGACTTGGCAGGTGACTTGCCAGGTATCAACTCTCTGTTTCAAAGCTTTGCCCTTCAGGGCCAGCTTGCAGGCCCTGTGGTAGTTTCCCATTGCACCAAATTTCCAACTACTTAGTGGCTTAAAACAACACAGATTTAATGGGGCCAGCAGATATCACTGAACTCCCATGTGGTTGATGGTGGTTCGAGTCCCAGAGAATCATGCTGGGCACATGTGCATGTGTACCCAACATCCTGGGAAGAGAATGGAGAAGAGATTACAGTATAGCCAACCCCCCCTCCTCGGGCTCTCTCACTGTCTCTCTCTCTCTATCTCCCTGACGGGTCACATGCCCTATGGCAAAAATCTCTAAAGATAAGCAAAAAACAAATTTAAAAACAATTGTTACAGGGCATATGCACTCACCAGAGAGACAGAGGGAAAATGAGAAAGCAAGTCACCAGGTCTGGGACTCAAACTGTGGTCAGCCACGTAGGAGTCCAGTGCCCCAACTACTACACCATCCGCTGGCCCTAACACACATTTAGTATCCTAGAAGTTTTTTTTTTTTCTTTTTCTTTTAATAAAAAAAATGCTTTAGGGCATGTGAACTCTCTGGAGAGAGACAGAAAAAGCACCCCTGTGGGGGAATGACCATACCTTAATCTCTTCTCCTCTCAGGATTTTAGGCATGAATTTCAAGCTGCCAGGTCCAGCACTCCAACTGCCCAATCAGCCATATGAGATCCTGCTGGCTTCATCAGTGTGCCCCTTGACCAGCCCTGTCTTAGAGTTTTTTTTTTAAAAGAGATTTTTGCTATTGGGCGTGTGCACCCCCCAGAGACGCAAAGAGAGACAGAAAGCAAGAAATCACTGCCCAGGGGCGATGGTCATACCACAATCCCTTCTCCAGTCTCCTCTTGGGATCTTGGGCATGTGCATGCTCATGCCAGTTAACTATGTGGGAGTCCAGGGACGTGATCGTTACACCACCTGCTGGTCCCTCTTAAGGTTCTTTTTCTTTTTCTTTTTTTTTTGAGAGATTTTCGCTATAGGGCGTGTGCGCTCGCCAGACAGACAGAGAGAGAGACATAGAGACAGAAAGCGAGAAATCACCTCCCGGGGGGGATGGTCACACCGCAATCCCTTCTCCTCCATTCTCCTCTCGAGATCTTGGGCATGCACGCACACACGCCCGGCGTGAGTTTTAAGCCATCGGGTATGGGACGCGAACCGCGGGAATGTGGGAATGTGGGAATCTAGCGACATAGCCATTATGCTAACTGCTGGTTCCCAAGGTTCTTTTTTTCTTTGATTTTTTAAGAGAGATTTTTGCTATAGGGTGCATGCACTCTCCAGAGAGACAGAGAGATAGAGAGATAGATAGTGAGAAATCACCCTCCCAGGGGAGATACACCACAAATCCCTTCTCCTCCATTCTCTTCTCGGGACTTTAGGCATGAATACACATGCACCTGGCATGGGTTTAAGACGCCAGGTCTAGGACTCGAACTGTGGCCAACTACATGGGAGTCCAGCGACGTAGTCATTTATTATATCTGCTGGACCCCTCTTAGGGTTCTTGAGGTCATGTGTGTGAAATGAGTCTCCCTGGGCTACACACCCTGGGTATTCTTTGGAGGATCTACGGGAGAATTTGCTTCCTTGCCTTTTCCAGCTTCTAAAGGCTGCCTCCATCCCGGGTCCACTCATGACCTCCATCCTGCCTAAACTGCATTACTCTGAAGTCTCTCTCTACCGGCTCACCTTTTTCTTTGACTTTGTGTCTCCCCCTTCCACTTTTTAAGGACTCCTGTGATCATATTCGCCCCACCTGGATGATCCAGGATAATCTCTACTCTCGCGGTCCTTAATTTAATCATATCTGCAAAATCCCCTTAGCCTTGTAACGTAACATATTCACAGGCTCTGGGGATTAGGACGGAGACGTTTTGGTGGGCCAGGATTGTGCCTTCTGCTGGCTGCAAACCTGGGTCCTGGCTTTGTCTCCATTTGTCAGGGAGCCATCTGAGATCCACTGTGTCAATGAAGAGATGAAGGCTAGAGGAATGAAATGAAAATGCTCAAGAGAGCCAGTCAGTGGCATGGTGGGTAAGGCAGCTAGAGCCCACCTGGCCGACTGTGCAATTCACATCCCAGGTCCCATGACTTGAAAAACACCAGGCACATGTGTGTATGTGCCCCAAATCCAAAATCCTTAAAGGAGAAATGGCGAAGGGATTGTGGTGTGCTCATGTCCCCTGGGAAGTGTTTTCTCAATCCTACCTCCTCCTAACCCTGTCTCTCTCCAGTGAGTGCATACAATCTCTAGCTAAATTTCTTCTTTTTAAATAATGTTTTATTTATTTTATTTATTTATTTTTATTATTTTTAATTTGACCAGAGAGAGAGAGGGAAAGTGACAAAGCAACCCGCCAGGTCTGTGACTCGAACCGTGGTTGGTTATGTGGGAGTCCATCACCTACAACTACCACACAACCTGCCAGGCCCTCTAGCAAAATTTCTTTCTTTTTTTTTTTAATAACTTTTATTTGGGACCAGCAGTTGGTGTAATGGCAATACTGCTGGACTCCCTTGTATTAGACCGTGGTTCAAGTCCAGGATCCGGTGGCTTAAACTCACGCCGGGTGCGTGCGTTTGTGTGCCCAAGATCCCGTGAAAAGAATGGAGAAGGGATTGCGGCATGGCCATCCCTTCTGGGGGGTGATTTTTCACTTTCTGTCCCTCTGTCTCTCTCTGTCTTTCTGGTGAGTGCACATGCCCTACAGCAAAAACCTCTCAAAAACAAACAAACAAGGAACCAGCAGTTAGCATAATGGCTATGTTGCTGGACTCCCATGTAGTCGACCGCGGTTCGCGTCCCAGACCCAGTGGCTTAAAACTCACTCCGGGCGCGTGTGTGTGCGTGCCCAAGATCCTGAGAGGAGAATGGAGAAGGGATTGCAGCGTGACCATCCCCCTGGGGGGTGATTTGCTTTCTGTCTCTATGTCTCTCTCTGTCTGGCGAGCGCACGTGCCCTATAGCGAAAAACCTCTCAAAAAAAAAAAAAACCCACAAACAAACAAACCTATTTTATTTTATTAACTTTATTTATTTATTTTAATTTGACCAGAGAGGAGAGAGAGAAAGTGAGACAGCAAGCCGCCAGGTCCGGGACTCAAACCATGGTCAGCCATGTGGGAGTAATGCACCCTAAATCACCATGCCACCTGCCAGCCCCAAGAACCTAAACTTTTGAGTGTACATTAACACTGGTCCCCAGCATCACCTGTTCTTTCCCTTCCTGGCACCTGATATATTTGCACTTTGGAGACCTCTTGGAGTGAGGCATGAGTGTAATGACATGTTTTGGCAGTGAAATGTGACACAATTTGCCAAGTTCCCCTTCTCTTCTTTTGATTTTTTAAAAGAATTATTTATTTTGGGCCAGCAGGAGGCATGGTGGTTAAGGGCACTGACACCCACATCGTCGACCACGGTTCAAGTCCCAGGCCTGGCAGCTTGCTTTCTCTCTCTCTCTTGTTCTTGCTCTGTCCTTCTTTGGTCAAGTCAAAATAAATAAATAAATAAATAAATAAATAAATAAAGTTTTTAAAAATAATTATTTATTATATTTTTTTTGGAGAGGTTTTTGCTATAGGGTGCGTGTGCTCACCAGAAAGACAGAAAGAGACAGAGAGACAGAAAATGAGAAATCCCTTCTCCTCCATTCTCCTCTCGGGATGTTGGGCACGCACACACATGTGCCTGGCATAAGTTTAAGCCACCATGTCCGGGACTTGAACCGTGGTCAATTACATGGGAGTCCAGTGACATAGCCATTACGCCATCTGCTAGTCCCAAGAATTATTTATTTTTTATTATTTTATTTAACTTTATTTATTTATTTTGATTTTACCAGAGAGGGACAGAGCAAGAGAAAGAGGGAAAGTGAGAAAGTAAGCTGCCAGGTCTAGGACGTGAACCATGGTTGGTCATGTAGGAGTCCAGCACCTTTAACCACCATGCCATCTGCCAGCCCCTATTACTATTTTAAATTTGCTATAAGGTACGGGTGCTTACTAAAGAGAGACAAAGAGAGAAAATGAGAAAGCAAGATGCCAGGTCTGGGACTTGAACCTTGGTAGGCCACGTAGAAGTCCAGTACCTTTCTTCTTTTTTTTTTT